AGGAGCCGGTAAAGTAGAAGAACCGGCCTCCCCATAGAGAGTGAATGTGCCATAGAATGAAAGTGATGGATGAATGGGACACAACTGGATCTTCTGGCGAGCTGAAAGGAAACCGCTCGAGACGAGCTTTGTCTTGAGAGGGGAGCAAATGTAACGGACAAAGAAGAGGCTGCAAGAACAGCCTCCGAAGCAAAGGAACGGGGATGCACCGTTGGGCTATTCGGGACGAACAGCCTTGAGGAGGGAGCATTGTGACATGTTGAGCTATGGATCACCCCTACCTCCCCAGCGGTACGTGGCGGTAACGTAACGCTCGCGTTACTACGGTAATAGGCGAGTTCCCGCCCCGCCACTCCCCTCCGCGGTGACGTAACGCGCAACGCTACGTACCCGTAATCAACTTCCTACTGTGACGTGGCGCTCATTACGCAACCGGCAAGCACTGCAGCTATATAAGTGAGCTTCACAGCAGCTACCAGTCAGTTGTACTGAGTCAGTCCTGGAGCTACCTCCGAGTCAGTCCTCGAGCTACCTCCGAGTTAGTTCCGAGTTAGCCAGCAACCAGCCAGTTGTATTGTGGCATTTGGAGTGTACTAATTGTGATACTGCAGATATCAGTAATCGTAAATCTGTAATTTGGGTGATTGTAAGTGCGAATGTGAAATAAAATTCGCTATATTAAATACTTCGTGAAGTTATTTGTCGCGTTATATGCCCAATACGCGACAACTGGTGTCAGAAGTGGGATTTGGTCTTACACACGTGACCGACGAGCGCCGAACTCAAGATACGCGACAACTGGTGTCAGAAGTGGGATTTGAACTTACACACGTGACCGACGGGATTTGGACTTACACACGTGACCAACGAGATTCGAACTCAATACGCGACAGTATTTTAAATTGTTGCATTATTGACAGATACTTTGATAATAAAGGATGAAGAAACTCTGAAGATGGAGGCAATATGTGACTCCAAAATGTAGTCCATCAGACTACAAAACTTCCTATACCAGGATACAGCAGGCTTCACAGTCACAACCATGAAAACCTCAAATCCAACATAGTTCCATCCAGTTCAAATATCCATAACATGTTTCTCTACGATCATTTTAATATTATCCTTCCATTTATGCTCAGTCTCCCAAGTGGACTCTTCCTGCCTGAGGATATTAAACAAGTACAAAAACAGAACTCTTTTAACACTATAATGAAGCATAATTAAAAATACATAAATACTCAGTGATATCCCATGAGATTCAGGCAATACTGAAGGCACTGACAGGGCTACACATCCTGTCAGTGCCTTCAGTAAGTGGTGTCTAATGTTTGAGAAACATCTGTCATGCAGGAAACGCAAACTAGTGTGGTGTCCTGTATACAAAGCCGGATCCACAACATGGATGGAGATATTTGCCATAATAGGAGGAGTGATGACGCCCGAGAATCGCATCAGGCTAAGCAAAGGACTCATACAAATGAACCAACTAGCTAGAATGGTTTATCCAAAGACAAAAGACGCAAATACCACAGTCAAGGTAATGTGTGCCTTGATGATCATTACTGGAAATGTCAAAGCATCTGAAAATATTAAGGGAATAATCTGAATATTATAAATCATTAAAGATTTCATATTGCTGACCTCTTGAGCACATTTTTTTGGAATGTCATTTTAACAGGTGTATTCATAAAGAAGAAAATTACATGACTTTAATCAAGAACCAGGCAACTTAATTACCAAAAATGTACTTACTTTCCATGTGCAGCCCAAGTAATTTTGAAACTTTATAGCCATTCTAACTGCTGCATTAACACTGCCAACATTAGAAGCTTATTTGTAAAAATAAAACCCAAAGCCTAACCTTAGAGAAAAGCCTGTCACCATGAAATGTTTATCAGTTCATCATGTTGCACTACATTTTCTGAGAAGGAAGATGCTCTTAAGCCAAAGTCTAAATATTGTCTTGAGTTTCCAAAACAAACATTCCTGAAACTGTATTTGTTTTAATCACCAGGTATAAGGGAGAAAATGTTCCCACTAAGTTTCAACCCTTAGAACAGCTAGTCCTGACCACTGGATGAAACGAATGAGCTTTTCTTGATCACTGGGCCAAAGAGAAAGTGCTAAAGTGCTAGTCGTGATCAGTGGAGCAAACAGAAGAGTTATCTCAACAACTGGACATAAAGGCTCTAACCCTATCTAATGATCCCAACTGAGTGGGAAACTCTCTCCCTTACAATGGATGATGGAAACAGATGAAGTGTCCTAAACACTGTGTTTGAAAAAACTCACAAATGAAGGACACCATGAAAAATACTAGTCATGTTTACCATACCACAATACTGTCAGAGAAATTTAGGCTTAGCTCAAATAACTTACATAAACCTGATACACATCCTGTCTCCAGAGGCCCAGAGATTGAGACTAGCTCTTTTTAACAGGGCTCAAATGAGCAAGAACATTTCCTCTCTTACATCTGATGACAAAATAGATCCATTTTCCATGATTTCAGGTTTGAAAAATCTGAGACAGTGTTCTTTTTTGCCATTTCAGAAATCTATCCAGTGGTTTGTAGAGCTAAACTGAGGAACTCACTTATCACACAGAATAAAGGCCTGTGTCTCTGATGTGACTGAGTCAAGGCAAGTTGGAGTAAAAAAGGGTTCTCTTTCCTTGCAGTTCCTAGCCAAAAGCACCAGATTCATCATTGTGCGACATCCATTTGAACGCATCCTATCAGCTTATAGAGACAAACTGGAGCATCGGAAAGGCCGTGAGTTTTATTACAGACGTTATGGTCGCCACATAGTCAGATCACAGCGTGAAGATAATGACACATTTGTAGACAGAGCTGAACCAACATTTGTGGAATTTCTTCATTACTTGGTGAAAACAAAGACATTTGATGAGCACTGGCGTCCATTCACAGCTGAATGTGCTCCCTGTGAACTGAACTACCAGATTATTCTCAAGATGGAGACCCTGGAGGAAGAACAGTTGTTCCTAGCAACCAAACTCAACTTGCTTGATGCCCTTCTTACTGTCAATTCTACAGGCCTGCTGTTGCACAACACAAATCCTAATGGCCGCACTGAACACAACTATGCCCAACAGTATTACAGAGACGTACCAAATCAACTACTCCAAGATGTGTACATGCTGTATGAGAAAGATTTCAGACTATTTGATTACTCACCAGAGGAATATTTTAATTTTGCTAAGATGACTTGATGCAAGAGGCAACTGAATATTTTGCTTGATGAAAACAAAAGTGATGATACATATGTTTGTAATGTATGATTCATGAGTTGCATGTATGTATGTATCTATCTCTAGTGCCTTCAGCTATGGTGTGTGTTGTCCTGTCTTGCCTCTGCCCAACTAGGCAACTGCACAGAATCCATTTCTGATGTGGGGACACCCACAGAGATTGTTACCTGACTCATGAGAATGACTGTCACCAGAGGAAACCTAGTTTTTATCACAACAGTGGACTGAAAAAATTTCTGTAAGGAAGCATTTCCAAGTATAACTGGGGAGTCAACAGAAAATTAGCGTCCATGTTATGGACTTTCATGAGACAGACATACTTTTACAAACCCATCCCTTCTGTAACATGGAGGTGTGTCATACATAGTGCCGTTACTTTATTAATACATACATTTATCATACTGCACAAATTAGCACAGCTTTATTTCAGCTTTTGTGTGATGTATTTCAACTATTAAGCAGCTACCTTATGGCATTTATTAGGGCAAATACAAACAGCATATCTTGAGATAAGCCAAATCTCTTTTCTCCGATCCTCTTTCGTCCATCTTACGTAACTATTCTCTTGTTTCTTTTCCCCGACTGTGTACTATCTTGGTGAGTCAGGATAGCTCAGTCAGCAAAGTGTCTGGCTATAAGCTGGACAGATGGGATTTGATTCCCAGCAGGGCAGAGATTTCTCTCTTCAGACTGGTTCTGGGACCCATTGAGCCTTCTGTCCAAATGGTATTGGAGACTCATCCCTGCAAATAAGTCAGCTGGAGTGTGAAGCTGATATCTCACCTCCACTGCCTCATATGGATGGCTTGTGACACTTTTATCTTTACCAGCAAAGTCCTGCAGTTAGAAATTAGACCATAATTAAAATGACCTAAGGTTAAATAACTAAATCTCAGTATGTACTGGCCCAAGTATAAGCCATCTTAAAATACAAGCTGTGCCCCTTAAATTATGTGGTCTTGAAACAGAAAAAGAAAGACACTTAATACACATACATCACTGCATTCCACATTAAGAACAGCTCAGAGGAAGCAAATCTGATGTAACATCATGTACTTACTTTACTTTAAGATGCATTAATTTAACTCCTGGGGTTACAAGAGGCACTAACAAAACAAACAAGTTGGGCCTGATATATTTCCATTTGAATTCCACTAGCCAGTAACATGGCTTCAAATTAAGGGCATATCGATGTATCATTTAATTTAAGCTAGTGTTATATCTTGGATATAAAAATGAACTGTGTAATCATACCAGACCTAGACAATCCAGCAATGTTTCATTCTGATTTTAAAAGCATCAGTTTTGTGTGAAATGGGCAAATATGGCAGTTACATGCAGACTGTATGAGTTCTTGAAAAACTAACAGGCAAGGCAGTAAGATATCAACGCCTTACTATGAGAAACTGGAACAGCAAGTACTCACCAGTCCAGGTTTGCCACGTCTCCAGGTTCACCATGATGTACAGCTGCAGAACCAGCTGTGGGGCTGATTCCATAAATGATTCAAACAAGTGCAGCATGCAGATGTCACTCTGTTGGTGATACAGACGTTCAAAATCTGTGGGATCACCAGACAATCGAGCCTCAAAGCCTGTCTTCAGTGTCAGCACGTACCTGTTGCAAAATCCCGCAGAAAAGAGAACAATGGGTTAAGTTCAATGCTAAGGAGACCGACTACTTCAGTCATATAGCACTGCAAGACCACAAATTCTGTAAATACTATCTCAAGATGATCCCAGCTAAAATCCACAAGCAAACCTCGTCTTTCTCACCACAACATTCAAAAACTGTTTGCCATTTCATGTCACCTCCCACTTTCAGTTCTTTCCTTCAGGACATCCTTCCACCCACTTCTGCGCCTGTGTTACTCGATAACTAAACTAGCTCCATGGAGGTCAGTCCTTGAAATGCCACCAGATTCTCAGCTAGTCAAAAATTTCACAACATCTGATGGAAGTCAAAGGTTCATTGCCATGTTCATAAGAGCCTGCCACTGGTTCCTATCCTGAGCCACCCAACCCCATTTCTCTAAGATCCATTTTAATATTATCCTCCCACCTACATCTAGGTCCTCCTCCTGGCTTTCCCACCAAAACTCTGCATGCATTCCTCTTATCTCCCCTCGTGCTACATGCAATATCCATCTCATTCTCATTGACTTGACCATTCTCATTAGGCAAAGAGTACAAATTATGAAGCTCCTCATTATGCAATTTTCTACCTAGTATTTTATCCCTCTTCAGAGCAAAAATTCTCCATAAAAAAACACCTTTCATGTTGCATTTATGAAACCGAACAATCATCCTAGTTCTTCATAATGTGTGTTGTCCTTTTCAGGTTACCCAGGACATTCTGGCTCTGATAAGGATCACTTTCTGGTAAGATTTCTTATTTGGAGAAAATACTGACCTGTAAGGAAGGAATAAGCACAAACTTTGACTTTTCTTATCAGATCAAATCTATAAAAGCAATTATTGCTTTATTCTTAGTCAAGCCAAGCACTTGATAAAGATGGATCTCCAGTGGACAAGGCCATCTACTTACCCTAGTGGCAGCAGCAGATGGGTACAGAACATCAGTGCAAAACTGAACTACCCAGAAAACCTATGCAACAGCTACTTAGTCCACTGTCCAGACTGGCTTATAACTGAATTCACATCTCCCCTCATACAAATAGTCTTCAATAACAAAGCATTGGTGCAGATAGCATGAATAGCCTGTAACCCATACTGTATCAAAGGGTTTGTCCACAACCCACAATCTAATGCTTAAGTCTTGAGACTCTAGCTAACTCCATGACTCTGTGGGTATTTCTATGAAACTACTAAGAGTGAAGAGAAGTTAGCATCTAAACTCTCTGCCAGATGTCTGCAACTTCTTCACTATATTCAAAGCTATCTTCCTCATCTGGTAACCTTCTCCTGCACTGGCAAACAGAAGATATGTCATGAAAATAAGGGAACTAATCACTATTTAAATAATTTAGGTGAAAATTAAAGTTTTGGTGTTGTCGATTGTGTAAGATCTGAAGCTTTCATGGCAGCTGAAGTTGATAAAATCTTGTCTGGCTATCAGCCATGTCAGTTGGGAAAAATCACAGATACTTTGGGAGTCTTCTCTGTACCCTTAATCAGGGTTTGACAAGACATAAAATTCAGTCTCATCTACTCATATATATCAGCCCATGGCCCATGATTGGAATGCCAATGAATTGTAGTTTCATAAACGGCTGTCAATGTTTCGGAGGAATCTGTTGTCACCATCTTCAAGGCAGAAAACAGAGGTAGCATGTTCCTCTATTAACTAATGATGTCATAACTCAGAATAATAATCAATTGCAGTATTTACCTGTGTATAATGCCCAGTAAAAAAATGTGTGCTAGCCAGTGCCAACAATTTGCACTCTCATCTGCAATGTGCCAGCGCATGCTGAACATCTGCACAACAGTTGCCGGGAGCACAATCAACAGAAATGTACTCACAGCCCAGTATATGTGGCCATGACTAAAGTAATCAACTACAAGGAACACATCTGAAATTAAAAAGTTTCCAAGATTACCTACCCTTGCAAGAATATAATCTACGGAATTTCCAATGGAAATATGCTAAATGCTTAAAATACGAAAGGATAATGTTAGATAAGGTCTACTTCTATATTAAACTATGTATATGACAGATATATTTTGAAAAATTAATGTACTTACCTGGGAACTACTATGGGTTAAATAATTATAATAACCAACTTTAAAATTCTGCTTACTGCCGCCCAATTCTCAATTTAATTTACAATATTCAAAAATATATTTTTATACTAAATACCTAACACCGTATAGCCAAAGAAGAAATACCTAACAATCCAACTGAATAGCAAATATTTTGTTACTTATCTTCAATAAACACAAGCTGAAGAATTTTAAAAGTGAAGTGTTAAAATCATGGTAGCTTCAGTTGTTATTAGTGAGACCAAATGCAACGTACAAGCAAACCGGTGTCTGACGGCTATTGAAGAATAGGCGTAGGAAAAGTTTATTACAACTGACAGTCAGAGCTAATAATTCCTCGAATCCTTCCTCACCTGTGCTAAAGTCCACAATAAACGTCACCATAGAAATCAACACAAGGCATAGATCAAACGTACTGAAAGACATTTTAGACCTATTCATTCTCTGAGCATTATCCTCCAATTTTGAAGAGCAATAAATCCCAGATTTTGACTTCACCGCCGCCATATTTCGCTCTCGCTCTCTGGCGGTAAAAATGAAAATTACAACCAAGGTCAGTTAAACGGTTAAACGTTAACAAAATGAAGCAAGAGACAAGAAGGATATCCATGTCAGAAAATTACACCCTTGAAAATATGTGTAAAAATTTATTATTTTTCTTTAATTCATGAAAATTTATAGGATCATATTTACAACATACTCCTGTTTTAAAATACGCACTATCAGGATTGAGCTTCTATTTTGTGTATGCAAAGAAAAAAAATAGAATGGAGGGAATTTACGAACATGTCAGTGACATTTGAAGTACATGCAAAAAAAAATAATAAAACGGGATTTAATTGTTAAGAAATACTCATTCGTGTTTAGATTTTATCTCTAAAATTAAGTATTAAACCGTAAACTAAAGCGTCAATAAAGAAGATATATAAGGGCATTGTGGAAGTGCATACTATGAAGGAGGTAAGTATTCCAACCTTAAAAAGTGTTGCATGAAGAAGAGTTGCTCAAAAACTGCAAAACACACCGTTCGTCACCATACTGCTGTATCCAACTAAGGAATGGTACCCAACATACATGACATTTACCTCCATTTCTGCTGTATAATCTTATTGAAGTTAATACCAACAGTATTAATAATTAAGGCAAGGATAAGTATTAGCCTTATACAATCGTTTAGTTTTTTTATGGTTAAAGATATTCAGAACTCCAGCCTATGTAGATAGTGCAGATTATGATTTGGATGCCTCCACCACATGGAAGGTAACTTTTTTTATTGTGGGGAGGGGGGGGGGGTATCATATCATAATTTCACTTTTATGCAACCAGTATGTATGCATATTGGCTATAAAGAAATAATGTCCTTTTCACTGGAATTTTAGTGCTTTTAGGAAGAACCTGTAATAAAGTTATGGCAGAAAGTGACAGGTAACATGTGCAGTGTTGATATACATATTGACATACTGGCCCTTCCCTTCCTAGTTACATTCTGCAGCTGTGTTGCAGCAGGCATCACAAGTGGAGGGATGAATGAACCTTACTTGCTTCCATTTTTTATTATATAGATGCAGAGTGGTAAAAGTATAACAGAACTGTCCACCCCTAAAAGAATTCAAACACATGTTGGAGACCAACAGGCTCATCTTGAATATGGCCCAGAGCATGATGCTCTTGTCTCCCTTGCAAATGAAACATTTGGGCTTTATGGATGGAGTCACTCTGTGACTCATCAGAATATTGGTAAGTGTGTAATGGTAGCGCAGTTCTACATATTAAAACTGTATTTGCAACATGTGCAGCAGCATCTTTGAGCACTGATACTCAGCTCATAAAAACTTCCTTTTATTGATGCGAAGAATCATCACCATCAGTGGTGAAAGATACTGGGTTGACTCAAACAGTGTTGACCACTGGGTTCAAGGAACCATGAAATGTAATTCCTAAACAGCCAAGTTTACCTTTTCTGAACCAATTAGTCCACTGGGTGCCAAAGTTTGTTGTGGAGATTATGAACTATATATTTTCATCAAAGTACTTAGAAAAAATTCTGAGTCAGCAACCTGACAGAAAGCCCACTGCATGTATGTCTGCCATGGGACTGTCTCCTGAATTCTTTCTGCTCACAACTACTCTTCCTAAAAAGGATATACCATATTTGTCAAACCCCACTTTAGAGACTCTGTCATTCAGAATATTCAGCGTTCAGTCCCTGGTCAGATCTGCATGTAGAATTTTCTGCTCAAAGATTGAAACCAATATAAACCTTTAGGACTGTAAATAATGCCAAGCCCTCACACCTGGTTCAGAGGCCATGATAAACTATAGAACCTCTTGCCAACAATCACTGAGAATTACAGAAACTACCCTGTGGGTGCCCCCATCTCAGATTTGAATTCTGTGTCCTTACTTAGAGAGCCAGAGGCCAGAAAGCTGGACACTGCTCATATCCAGAGGCACTAAAAACTGACAACTTTTTTCCTGTTTCTTTTGATTTAATCCTGAAGGCAGAGAGCAGGGAAATATGCAGGTATAGGTGAATTATCATGTGTGTGGCATTTGTTTGTATGTTAATTTCCAAATAAACATATTTTGAGTATGCTGTAATTTGAGATATTTCTAAATATTCTGTATAATTCATAATGTAATTATGTACGTGATTAGATCTGTTGTAGTGTATTTTGTTCTTAGGGTATATTCTGTAAATGTATTTCTAGATATTTTCTGAATGTGATGTATTGTACTGTAACTTGTCCCATATCCCCCTGATTATGATCCTTCTCTCTGCTGTTGCAGACTACATTGATTGTAACAGCAGCAAATACTCGGTTGGAGTTGCGGCTTTCGTGAAAGTTGAACTTAAGAATGGGATACAGCATCAGGATGTAGGTTATGGGATGTGTAAAGATTCCTGCAGTAAGGGATATGCCATTGCCCATGCTCGAAAGGTATCTGGATTGTTGTGACAGACAGGTGTCCCTCAGAAGCAATAGTTGCATTCACAAAGAGTGATTGCATAAGTTAAAATGTTTGTTAGTCCTTTGTTACATTTAATTTTCATTAAAAAATGTATAAGCTTGTTATCTTGAATGCCATTCATTTTAGCTGCTTAGAAATACTAATTAATCTGTTTTAGACTTAATTTTTGTCTTGACAAAAAAGAGACTGCGCAAGTCTCAGTTATGCCAGTTGGGGGATATCTGTACTAACTGCTGCTACTCTACAGAATTTTGTGACAGTGGACATTTTTATGTTGGGTGTGAATGCCATCCATTTCAAAACTGTGTTCAGTGCTTCAAGGTTCATTAATGGCACTTTGTAAAAATGTCCTACTCTTCTATATCTATAAATCTTGACTCACATCTTGTCTGTCTTTTCAGGAAGCTACAACAAATGGTTTGAGAGAAGCATTGCGTAGTTTTGGTTGTCACTTTACAGGGAAGGTGAATGAATGTGCAGGTGTGCGAGTTGAATCCAGTGTTCTTAAGACATCTGTTCAAATGGACAAGCACTGTTTGATTCATGCAGGTAGAATGTACTTTCTTTTTCTAAACTGATGTATAGGCCTGGCTGTTACGTGATCCGTTAAGTGTGTCTTCTTCAGTTCCAGGTTCCAGCACACACACAACAGGTGCATCACCAAGAGCTTGCATGCAGTCAGCTGATGATATCACATTAGAGAGGAAAAGAAGACAGCGGATGAAGCGAGACGAGTTTCTTCAGCAACTGAAGGAGAAACAATTGTCGCAATCAAAAGATCTTCAGACAAAGTCATTGGTGGATAAAGACACAGGTATACATAAATGAAATTTCTAGTGCAAGGAACTGAAGTCAGATTGGAAAGCATTTTGTCAGTTGGTCATTTTATTTAGAGGTAGAGAAGGACTTAGTTCAGGGATTTCTATGCATGTGCAATTATTCTTCCAGCAAAAACAGTATGTACAAATTACTTCAAATTTAAGACACATCCAATATTTAACGGAGGATTTTAGGAAGGTGTATTTATTTCAGTGAATATATTTAGAACACATCAATTAAAATATAATATTTAGAATACATTTAAATAGAAAAGTAATGGAAAATATACCAGAATGAAATGGAAATTTAAAATTTTCACTACCTGCACTTTCCTTTGTGTCTTTGTTATTTAATCAGAAAGTTTGTCCAGTGATCCTTAAGTTGCACTGTCATTATCTTAAGATGATGCACCCTTACCACTTTGTTCATTCTTCTCCCAAAGGTCGTCTTGCATTCCACCTTCTGCATTAGACAAGCACCACTTCAAATACGATTTTGAAATAATACTGATTGGCATTTCTTTCAGAGCTTTTGATATCCGTTCCACTGTTACTGATGCTCGTGCTCTTTTTATTTTGCCACTAGATGTCAATGTATGATTGTCTTTATTCAACCAGGCATCAGTTAGAGACAAGATGTTTGAATGGTTTGTTAACGGACGTATAAAATTGTTGTAATTGACTTGTCATGGCACTAGAGTGGTGTTTCTGTTCCTTAACCTGTTTCTGATTCTATTGGTGAGATGGCCACGAAATGCTTCCATTGCACGCGTACTCCACAGCTTTGATAATGCACCAGGCCAGGCCCATACACATCCCAGCTAGTCTTCCATTAACTCCTATGAGATCCATGCAATTTTTTGGACCCACACTATTACATCTTTAAAAAAAAATTGGTAATTTTTGTGTTTAATATTACATGTGGTGGTAATTTATTGGCATTTGCAGGTATAGACAGCATGACATGTAACATGCAACTTCATAGCCTGTGGTTTTCATTGCCACTTGTTTTCCCCCCTCTGAAATGTATGGTGGAATTGTGAGGCATGTGGAAAGAACTGCAGTTTCATCTGCATTACTGATTTACCATAAAGAATTCCTTTGGTGTAGTCCAATAACAAAACACTGAAATTCATTCAGTTTAGTTTCATTCCAAAGAAGTTTCTGACTAATTTTCATCCATCATGATGATAAGCTTTCTCTCTTCGTAAACTTTTCGCACCATCCATGAATAGCCTTGAAAGGTATATTACTGCTTCTAACACATTCTTTTGCTTTTGACATTAAGGCTTCCCCAGTCCTCAAATTTAAGATGTATCTCAATTTTTCAATGGGAAAATATGAAAAAAATGTGCATCTTATGTTTGAAGTAATATGGTAAATGTTGGATAATATAGCTCTGTACAGTGAAAAAGTACATAAGCCAGTAAGAAGGAATGATATGATGTTAAAGGCTTTCATGTAAACATGAAAAGGTTTAAGTCTGTGTTACAAGACAATCATTAATCATTTGCAGAGAGAAAAAAATACATATGTAGATCAGCACTTCTGAAAATAAGTACCTATTAAACATTTAGTAATGTTCATTTGAGCGTTGGTTTGAATAAATCAACTGTCTGGTAGAGCTCAGTATAGAATTTAATTATGTCACTAGTGTAACACCTGTCAATAATTTAACAGGAAATCTCATCTTTGCAACATAAGCTTTCATACTATTAACTTCCTCTGCTCTCTCCTGTGTTCCTTTCCAGTCTGGCGTTACTGAATGATGCGTTGAGGCTGATGATTAATGCCATCTTCCATGAATAATCTGCATGAATAGTCATAATGATATTTTCTTCAGATAGTACACTACACTTCAGATATCCACATCAGAATATTACTGTACTCACAGAATGGACATGAGAGATGTCTCACTTGTTTGTAACCTACTTAACTTACATTTATGCAGTTCAATTCAATTCAATTTATTTTTGTTCATCAGATCTACATTTGGCGATGGCGCCTCCAGATATAGAACACGTCACAGCCCAAGTTACTATAATATCAATCCAGAGGACGTCATAAAGATATTACAACTTATATACAACCATTGTTGCAATAACTATTGATACAAGTAAATTTGCTGTCATCGTCAACACTGTGTTCCACGGTGCCACACCGAAATACAAATCACATCAATATTCCACTTTTTCTTTTTCTTCTTACAATTCACACTCAAAAGGACAATGTTAATGTTTAATGTGTTAATGCTTGACAGTTCAGTTCTATGGTAACCTGAAATAGTGTAAAGACAGTGATATAGATGACACAACTTTCTATGTATGTGTAAGAACTATTGCCAATCTGACAGTGCATTCCACTTTTTGCCATCTATGTGCAACATCTGTTAATATTCTCTTATCTTCTGTTTATTGTCACTACAAGTTTCAACCTAACTGGCCATCATCAGGTGTACAGGTTGTGATGAAGGGCTCTGCTGCCCACTGTAATGCTGTTCTGCTTTTCTGATGTAATTGCCTCAGCCTAAGTCTAGGTTATGTGGGTTAAGAAGCTGTTGCCATGCACAGATCTACACAATGCAACAGGATTCTGCAATTTTATTCAGAATATAAGTATAAAAGAACTGTCTTCTGGGAAGTTGCAACTTGCTGTTTGATCCTGAAGATGGAGGCAGTATGTTCCTTGTGACATGTCGATATTTATCATAGTCACCAGTTTGAGAATGTCAGACCTTACAAAGAACTAAACATCAGTAATTGTGATGTTGCTGGCTGCACAGAAAATGTATGCTGAACTGGAAATAATATGAAGACATATCGTCACCCACTGACATTTTCACAAAATTGGGTCATCTTATAGAAAACTCCAGTCTTTTGTCTTCCTTATGTATTCTGCCTGTATTTGTATCTACTCTTTCTCTGCTCTCTTTTCTATGTACTCATAATCACCTAACACAGTTCCTCCACGCTCATTTGTTCAGTTGTCTTCATTTCTGTGTTCTCAAGATGTTACTGTAATCCATGTGTAACACCTTTCCATCGCACTGTATCCATAATTTCACGAACATTTATAGAGGTTCTCACATAGTGCCTGTGATGAAACCATCTTATGCTGGCAATTTGCTTGGCGTATTCTTCGACTCTGAAGACGGAGGCAGCATGTTCCTCTGAAATGTCAGTGAACTTCTGCCAGACTGCATTTATTTATTTATTTATTTATCATTATTTATTAATACTGTACTGTCTTGTATTTTTTACTTTTCTATATCCAATGGTTGTACCAGTATCGATTAACAGAATGAATTAAAATGGAACTGAATAGTTCTCTTAATTCCTTACAGAATTTTGTACTGATTTTTCCTACCTATTATACTGACAAACTGAAGCCTTTCCCTAAAACCACATTGCCTTTTAATTACCATTCCTTTCATGAACATTGTTGTTTGTAGGGATCAGACACAAAGAAGAAAAAGAAAGTACTTTGATGAATGATGAAACACTGATATCTACACAAGAACTTGATCATGCGGTACAGTCAGCAGAGATACAGCTGGGCCGAACACCTCTCCTTTGCTCTCCACCCATAGCTGCAGAGATGACACCTCCATGGCCATCAGACAGAGGCAGCAGGCTTATGGGAAACACAGTCATCCCTAGGCAACTAGTGATGCCCTCCAGAAGAACTCTGCCATAGGGAACTGCACTGCTACAAGAAAAAGACACAGAACAATTCCACTTAAGTCCACAATCACCCCCCCACCCCACCCGCAATCCCAAATCATATGAGAGAAAAAGTCAAGGTACTGACTTCTTTCAAATTTTATGTTTTGCCAAGCAAATAAAATCATTGAATTTAGCAAGTGAAGCTGCTGACAATAATTGACTTTTAGCTTCTCTAGCTAATGATGTTTCCTGTTCCTCTGCTGACGATTAGCACAGCAGAATGTTGCATACTGAAAGAAGGAAAGTGGGAGACTTCACCAGCATTGCAGGCCACAAGAAAAGCAGTTGTTTTGTTATGCCTACCGTTTGTGGATATTACTTGCGATTTCTGTATCTGACTAGATTTAGCCTGCTTTGAACAATATTATGGCACACTGTATGTCGCCAATTAATGCACAGTGCCTTTCACTAAGGCGATCCTTACAAGCATTTCAAAGTAGTAAATTTATAATATGATGCATTTTATGCAGTATTTTTATTGCAAGAACTTCTGGTATAAGGCCTAAAACTTCAAGCTCACTATCTCATAAAAGCATAATCTTTATAGTATTCAATATACCCATTTCTGTAAATCCAGACCTTCAAATAGACCTGTCCAAAAATTATGATCCCATCTTTCACTCTGTGCAAACAATGTTTCAGATATCTGTAGACAAGTCAGGAAACATATTCACAACATAAGCAATCCTCATGTTTTCTCGCATTTGTTTGAATGTCTCAAAAACCATAAAGACTTGAGGGAAAATTGTATGCAGCAAGTTGCGCTTCAGACACATATAGAATCACATACGTCTTAAAAAGGTGCATTGTTGTTGCTCAATTTTAACCAAAATTTGCCTGTGAAATTTTAATAAAGCCCCTATCTGATTACTGAAAATCTGTTCACTGATTGAGTTGTGACATTTGGAGACAGGCATGGCAAATTCCACAGGCACATTTTTGTAACTTCTCATTGAAGATGCACCAAAAATATCCTTACAAGAAGTGTGATATTCCTAATGCTTTTACAAGTTGCCACTGCACATTACATTCTGTGTGGTCACTGAACAATTGTGTAGAACTGTCTTATAGCAAATTGCACTTCAGGATTGTATGGGTAAATCTTTATCCTGTTTGTTATACAGAAAGATCTGTATGAATATTCCATGTATCTGCAGTTCATGATAAATGGTGTGAATAAAACTTTCAGATAATTTCAACAGTCTACCTTCTCAATGCTCTTCCTGTTTATTCATCTGTGGCTTATTTGATGCTGTCAGTAATTCTGACCACAGCTGCTAATGATTGGAGAGCAGGTGAAAGAAGCAGATGTCCACTCATTTAAGGTACCGTCTGAGCAGGGATAGCAAGGAAATCTATGAAAGCCTTGATCAAGATACTGTCCACACCAAGATTTGAACTGGGCACCTCCTAAGCATTATCACTTGTGCCAACTTACTTGGTCCACGATTCCTCAGTGTAATTACTGTTTAACCAAAAACATCTACACAGCCGTGGAACAGCTTTATAGATACGCATGGCATAAATAGAACGCCTCATGATATATGAGAGTAAAGCAAGAAGGGTTAACAGTGTCAGAACATCTGAACAACCCTGAAAAATATGGGAAAATGTTATAAAGGACAGGATGTTGGGTAGCAGTTGTCATCATAGCCTAAAATGGAACATTATCTAATTAGTGATAAGTATGCCTCCAGAAATGCATGCCAAAAAAGTAAAGCTATCCCTGTACCAGGCTGTGAAGGGCCATAGGGTTGAGATGTTGAAGGTCCAACATTATCTAGACAATCGGCTCAAAGATGGCGGTAAGGTTGTCAGCCTTACACACCTTACTCACCAGGAAAATTATTTAATTAATTCCTGGTACTCATTTCTGTTAGAGGCTGAGTAAACCCCAGGGCCTAGTGCAGCTGGAAGGATTAGGTCAATTGAAAAAATCCAATGACCTCGTCGGGATTTGAACCCGCAACCTTCCGGCTTGTAGCATAGCACCTCAACCACTACGTTACCACGTGCCCCAATGCATGCCAAAGCTACTATAAATTTAATAAAACCCAATCAGCCACTGTCTCTCAACAGTATGCTTCACATATCTCCATTAACTTGTTCATGACAAGTTGACAAGCTTATTTCTGCTGCCCTGATGTTCACAGAGAAACAAAACACAAGGCTTACTAATTTTTGGAAGTACAGAGTCACCTGTATTTCATGTTCCTAATTTTAAGATTTTCTTGAGTTTCAGAGCTCAATGACCCAAGTCAACAAATCTGGTGTTATAATTAGTTGCATTTAACATTTTCCNGGGGGGGGGGGGGGGGGGGGGTGATGTACTTGTGTACACTGAACAGCCTCTGTAAATAAAGGCAATCTCTGATACCAGAAGCCATGACTGCTTGGAATGAAATACTCTCTCATTAGATCTGAGGCTCTCAACACAATGAGTATTAAGATTAGGGTTCATTGAGTCATGGCACTGAGCAGTTTGGTAGACAGGTATCAGCATTTCAGGGGAATCCACTAACAGTACCTCTCTGGTAAACTACATGCTGTACCATCCCAGAAGACTGCAGTCTTTATATTCCCACAATTTTAAGAACTCAAGATTCTCTTTAAGTAAAGAAATGTCCATATTATTACAATCATTAAGAAAGTTCCTCACACAGAATGGGATAGTGGACTGACACGTATGCTAAACGTTTTGTGTGCACTGTACACTTCTCTATGCTACAGAAATTAGGACAATCATAACACAAATTTTATGAAATGACAGTACAAATGAATGGTTCTGCTTCATGAAAGCAAAACATGGGTCTGTAAGCAGTCAAATGAAAGATGATAAACTTTCCTTGAAGGTCAAGGCACCAGGTTCCTCCAAAATGTTGTAACCCATATGCCAGGGTACATGGCATCACATCCCATACCATAATATTAATGATCCAGATAATTTCTTTAGTAACAGATTGTCCCATGAATTGTCTAACAGCTGTACTACAGAAAATGGGGACCATCCGTTTTGCCTTCCCAGTGGAATGGCTTGTGGAAAGGAAGAAAGATTTTGACATTCCTGCCCTTGCACTTTTGCAACAGTAGACTGTCAAAACCCAAAAGATAAAACATGAGAAATGAAGACACTGTTCAAATTCACAACATGCTTTTAATATTCTACATTTCCTGTTCTGCTATGTATCCTTACTGCATTGTTACATAATCTTCACTACAGAGACTGATCTCCCACAAACATCAGCACAATCTTGTGTCTCGATGTTTTGTTTAGGATACCAATGTTTTAAGAATAAAAAATTGAAACACATGAAAGATAAAAACTCCTCACCTCAACAACAAACACAACTTAAACTGTCTTCTGTCTACTTCTGTCCACAATACCCCCATTTCCAAGTACAGAGAATATCACAAACATTTCAGCTACTGCACTCTGAAATGCTTCACGTCAGTAGGAGTTGGGACATTGTACATAAGGTTCAGGAGTTTCTTTTTCTAGTTTTCTTCTGTGGTTCTTTCATTATAACAACAATTCTAGATAGACTATGATGCCACCTTGTAACTTTATGTAAAAATAATCCTGAGACTCAAGACTTGTGTAATGCCGGCACACGGTTTAACAACCTAGCTCATCTTTCGCAAATAAGTAAAAGGTAAAATGCTATGATAAGCAGAGTAGAACTGAGAACAGTACTCCTGACCTTTAAGTACGAATTTACTTCTCCTAAGTTACCACAAAATATGTATTTATATAAAAGATTTGCTCTGATTAATCTGTTCTCCAGGTCTACTCTGCTTACACAATTTTTAGTCACAAGCTGCAATATTGAGGTGGCTGTGAGACCAGATAGGCAACATCAATCGTTTCTGGCAGTGAAATTTTAAGTTTAGCCTATCCAGCCTAATAAAACTACATGAAACTTCAGATATGAACAAGATTTTGTACGTTACATAAAATTAATCTAACTTCAAAAGTAAGTCACAATCGAGCCCTTAACACTGTAAGGTTCAACAAAAAGATTACATTAATAAAACCAAAATGAAGGGCAGAGGGAACTTTCACAACTTTGCCCTTCCTGACAAGTCTGTGGTCTTTGAGCAGTGATCAGCACCAGAATTACTGTAACACACATTCATCATTCATCTTTGCACTCACACAGTCTTCCTTACAGTAAAACCTCTGATGTGTAACATTTTGAGCAAACAGGTCCTTCACTGCATTCGTGCTCTTGGCATCATCATCGTATTCGTGCCTTGTTGGGCACTTACAAGCGTATAGGTTACTTGGCAGTTCATCCCTCACATCTATATTCAAAGTCTCGTGACAGAAGGAATGCCATAAAAACCTCTCAATACAAAATTAAAAGATATGCTGCGACTACACACTGAGTGAGCTGGCGTTATACGTGGAGCGCCAGCTCACGCTCCCTCTCCTGCTGCTGCACAGCTACTGCAGCCTCCATCAACAAATACAGGCACTTGAATTTATCTTTGTCATCATCTTCAGGTGGTGTTGGCGGTGGCGTCTCTTGGGAGTGAGAGAAACCGCCACTCCGCTCTCCCTGATTTGAAGGAGCAGGACATTCACTGCAGGGTGATGCATTCCAGAAGTCTGCCCCAGGATGCATTGCTGCAGTCTCTGCTGATGGGGGGGCTTCCTCTCTGCAACATAAACCATCAGACTCATAAAGACTATCAGCTTCAGCATGCTGAGAAGGTCCTTCCTCTCTGAAATGTAGCCATTAGATCCATAAATACTATGTGTTATTAATATGGATTACAGCACTGCTCAAAATATGGAAAATATCAGTACCAAACTAAAAAGCTCAAACAAAACAGTAAGTCTTGGAAGACCCTATAATGCTCCATTCCCATGAAATGCATATTTTTTTTTTCTGTGGCGCTACAGCCCCAATTTGGGCCTAAGCCTACCTCCATTAAACTCTCCGTTTCACTTCAGTTTACTAGATCTTATACATTTGGTAGGACTCCTTGGGCGAGTGATCAGCTCGTCGCAAGGCCTCTACCTGTAGACAAAACACAGAAAAACGCATACAAACATCCATGCCCTGAGTGGGATTCAAACCCACGATCCCGGCGTCTGAGCGAGCGAAGACAGTGCATGCCTTAGACCGCTTGGCTACCGTGACCGGCATGAAATGCATATACCTAAATATATATATCAGACAGACTTACAAAGCAGCAAGAACTGAAAGGCATACTGTAATGGAGTATACATATTTTTCCAATGAGTTAGTGATTGAGGACAGAAACACATTCAGTTTCTGAAACATCATGTTTACTAGTTCTTAGAATACTGGATGATGGATAAAGTGCAAAAACCCAGTAATTTTTTACTTCGTGGACTGTTTTAACAACAGCTGTGGCTACCATACATATTAGCAGCCTCCGTAGTCTAGAGGTAACGTTCCCACCTCATGACTCGTAGTACGCTGGTTCAAATACCCAGCGGAGGTCGTCAAATTTTTAAGGGCGGAAAAATTCAGGGAACAAGTCCTCTGGGAGGGACTTTAAGCCGTGAGTCCGTGTCGTAGCTTCACAGCACGTAAAAGAACCTCATATCTCCAAAGGAGGTCACTGAGCCAAATTAACGGACGTTTCCCATCCAACAGCAGTCTCTAATACCTCTGGTAGATGGGGGAAGCATTATAGATACCTCTCAGCTAGGAGAGCCGGTCTCGCTGGCTGGGCGGGACTGATGGTAAGCACCAGTACCGGTAGGATATAGACTGGTAGAAATCATAGAGGGAAGCACAATGGACCAATACAGGTCTCAGTGCATGGGGAAACCCACCCTCTCCAATAACTAACTTACTACCATACATATTGGCAACTGTGCAGAGCAAAGTTAATACATTTTGGGGTATTTTCTATTATTGTCATGATGACATGAGGCAGAAACTGTCAAAACAATTACATCTGTAGATATATCCACTAATTTTTCATACAATAGGCAATTTCTGAGAAATCTGATGGCTTTCAATTTCACATGTATAGTTTATTAACAGTTTACTTACAAACTAAATTCACTCAACAGCATTCAGAACAGACCCAGCAATAACAAATTTCTTCACAACTTAGGTATAATCTCAGATCATACATATCAGTAAATGGAAATAAATGATCCTCATCAATAACTAATATTTACAGATGACACTAGTGTTATAATTTCTGATAAAAATGTAGATGATTTCTGCTAGTTATCAAGCAAGGTTCTTTCGCAAATGAGCAAATGGTTTTCTGCAAACAAAGCTGTCCCTGAACATAGAAAAAGCAAATGTAATAAAATTTATATCAGAAAAACTCACAATATTCATTAAACATATGATATGATAAATATATAGAAGAGGGAGTAAACACAAAATTCCTTGGCTTGCAAATTGATAATAATTTAAACTGGAAAAACCATATTGATCAGTTGATTCCAAAGTTAAGTAGAGCATGTTATGCAGTTAGATTCATGTTACATATTAGTAACACTGACACACTCAAATCAATCTGTTTTGCTTATTTTCACTCATTAATGAAGCATGGAATAATTTTCTTGGGTAATTCATCTGACAGTAAAAAGGTATTTACATTGCAAAAGAAAATTGTTAGAATCATGATGGGTGTAGATGATCCTGCAGAAATCTATTTAGGAGACTACAGATCTTAACTTTGCCTTGTGACTATATAAATTCATTAATAAACTTCATTACAAATAACGAAGAAAATTTTCAGATGAATGCAGATGTACAGTGTTAACACAAGACACCAACGGTATCTTTATAAACCAACTGCTAACCTCTCTCATTCTTTCAGAAAAATGCATATTATGCTGGGATCAAAATTTTTAATAACCTGCCTTCTGATCTCAAAGGTCTCATGAATGAAAAGGCGTGATTTAAAACAGCACTGAAACATACTTAAATGCACATTCATTCCACTCTGTTGATGAATACCTATTGTCTAGAAAATAACTTATGTATCTTTAAATAGCCTTTTGTGTAGTCACTGTGTATTCTTGGTTTCTCTTGTGTGAGAACTCCACTGGGACTGTACATATGTTTTGTATTTATATGACATATTCCACATCTTAACAGTCATTTTGACTAACTTTGGATCCATGGAATGCAATGCAATGTAATGCAGTGTGTTCATTCTATAAATTTGTGCAAAGAACATAAAATTTAGGGACTTATATTCATAAAATTCCACTAGAGCATGTTTCATGATTTGGAAGCTGCAAATGAAGTTTGCAACTTTGTGTCATCAGTGAGAACAGTGACACTTCTCTTATCCAGAATCGTTCAGACGTGGTCATGAAATGGGTGAATACACATAAAAATGCATGTAACCACTTTCTTTCCACTTCATGAGTAACCCCCCCCCCCCACAAAAAAATTAAGTTACTGGACCCAACCCTGGGAATGGCAGTAGTAATGACTCCAAAAGCGATACTCACTCTCTCTTGATGGGATGGCCAACACAGTCTTTGGGGCAATCATAACGACAAACAATGACACTGTGCCAGGGTGTTGCCGCTGGTTGTCGTGCCTCTTCTTCACTTGGAGAACTGCTCTCATATTCATTGGGGCTGTCTTCCTCGCTGCGGTATATGAATCCCACGTTGTCATCATAATCGTGATCCTGCACCACATTGCTCCTCTTGGAACTGCTGGTATCCCAGTGACTGGCCCCACGGGACCGTGGGCTGCCTGCCCCCCCTGATGGCTGGCTCCCCGTAAGCTTCTTACCCCGTCGTGAGATTGTGTAATGTTGGGGATCATGCCCTTCTCGTCGAATCATCTCTGGCAAGATGCGTCTCCGTGCGTTGATAAACCAATTACAGACCTGCAATCAAGTTTCACATTCTAACTTGTCACATCTGTAGACCAATACTGGGAAGAGGGGTTTCATGTTTTGCACCTGTTACCAAACATGTTTCACAATAACTGCAAAGTTAATCTTAAAATGTTGGCACAGGGTTTAAAACTGATGTAGTCAAGAGTCATGCAATTCCTCCATATTCATCAGTTTTTTTCTAACCAGAGACGGAAGGCCGCACCGTAGCTCAAGCAGTTAATCGCAGGCTTCCCATTTTGGCAGCCCACGTTCAATCCCGGGTCTGGTCAAGTTGGATTTGTGGTGGAGATAGTGGCACTGGGGCAGGTTTTCTCCGAGTACTTCGGTTTCCCCTGCCAACCTACATTCCACCAATTGCTCCACAATCGCCATCACCTATCATCTGGGGCTGGTACAATAGGCCAGAAGTGGCCGCAGTACAGGGGACTCAGTCCCATCACACTAGCAATAAAAGAAAACCAGAGACGGAAAGTATGAAATGTGGTTGATGGACACCAACAACACTGCACGAATCACTTGCAAGAATGGAAGGGCACTGCTTGCCACGCTGGCCAGTTGCAACCAAAGAGGCTGATATGAACTGGGACAAGCAAAGTGGTGATGGGGAGACAACAGCATCCTGCAATTCACAGAATTGTGCATTACTAACCTAACCCTATAATTAGAACGAGTAAATGATTCAGGATCAGATCAGTATGATGTGATTATCCAATTAGTGGGCTGGAGAAGAAACTTAAAATGCACCTAAAGCAAACTATTCAGTGAGATGGAAACCAGACTGTGCTAGCGGGTGACAAACACCTAGGTGTCATAAAAAGAGCAATTTTGTACAAACTGTTCCAAGGACATTCCTGCCCTGAGTATTGCATTCTGTGAGCCAGGTGTATCAAGAAATGTAAGTTGATGAGGCAGCTAACCTCCTCACTAAGCAAAACTGAGAGAACAAGAGAATTAATAAAACCTAAAATTCTCTCAAAAATCTTGTCAGTAGCACAAGTTTTATTTATGAACAGGCCTAGAGGTCACATCAGAATTTTTTTAGTGTAAAAGAGGGGCGAGACAGCCCATTGGTACTGTGAATTGAACAATGGCAATTATACCAGCCCCTGACAACATATTACAATAGTCAATAAGTTCATTGAATGGCCTCAAAGCGTCGTTGCAGTGCACTACAGCGGACAGGATGAGGCACAATATGATGCCCTGTCGATTCATCTCTCGTCACAGCAAGAGGCAGCTGTGTGCAAGCTGCGTAAGTAGAACTACGACCTCTATTGTGAACTGCAGTTAAATGCAAGTGGCGGAAATTGAAAATGTGGCAGTTTGAACAACAGGCAAACATAAAATTATTCCAGAAACTAGGCAAATCCCTAGCGAAACGTTTGGCGTAGGAAGAATTGGCTGTTGCTACATGACAACGCCCCTGCACATCGCTCTGTTCTTGTCCAAGAGGAACTGGCAAGGCAACAGGTCACCGTTTTGCCATACCCTACATATTCACCTGATCTCGCACTATGCCATTTCTTTCTCTTTCACCGCTTGAAAGCAAAGCTACGTGGTCGTAGATTTCAGTCGTCCGAGGAGGTTGTCAATGCCACAAGAGACGCCGTACGGGAATTTCCCGCCGATATGTTTCAGCAATGTTTTCGGCAGCTGTATCAGCGTTGGCCGACTTGCATAGCAGCCAACAGCAACTATTTTTGAGGGATGATGTGATCTGTGTAAGTGTATGTGAATACCTTGTAATATGATGCGATAAAACCACATTCCATGAACTTAATGACTCTACCACGTATATATGGAGCAGTGATGATGTGATACATGGAAATGGAAAGAAAGCCAAAGTCCTCAAAGGAAAACATGCCCCAGTACCACCCTGACCAGCACAAATCCTACTTCTGCAGCAAGAAAGAGGCAGCTAACTGCCTAAGCTATGACATGGCTCATTCCAACAGTACATTCATCCACTTCGGCAGAGTAAAGGTACGTTTCGGATAACGTTCTTCATGAAATGAAGGCAAGTACTACGAGTGCACGTTGAAGCAGCAGTCTTCTTTACCGTCTGTGTATGCACTTCTGATAATTCTGACGTTTATTTTCGCTTACAGAGCTGAGATTTTGAAACAATTTCTAACTCGCACTGTCTTTATATGAACTCTAACAAGTATATCCAGAAGCTTCAATCCCTCGTTATGCTGCCACGTTTTAATAGTTACTGTGTTGTGTAATTTCGGACACATGGTTGCAACTTTCGGGCATCTGAAATTGGGAACCTTATTTTATAGCCTTGGAGTTTCATTCATTCTTATGTGGCGGGTTGTTTATTCTGATGTATCCTAGCAATGGCCGCATCCATCATTTCACTCCTCTGGCTTTCAGCCGTCAAGTTAAAACATAAAGAAAGAGGACGTGAACGAAGACTGGCAAATCCAGGCAGAACATGATGTATAAGACGAGAATGTGGCCCATATGTATAGAATTCTGACATTTCTTACCTGCAGCACTGTAAGATTTGCCTCCTGGGAAAGTGTCACTTTTTCGGCATCACTAGGGTAAGCATTGTAGCGATGCTCATATAGCCAACGTTTCAGAATCTTCACAGAGTGTTTTGGAAGGTTTCCACGGCGCTTCCTCACAGCATGACTCCCTCCTGAGTGGCTGTGACCTCCGGGTTTAAATGGCCGTCCTCCCGCCAGACCGACCTCATGTTCGACTTCTGAACCCGAGTCCTGGTCATCTGTGCTGCTGGACGATCCAAATCTTTCCCTTGCTGCAAGAAACAAACAGAAAGACCCATAACACTTTGGTAACTGGTAACGAGGCGCAAGCAGCCACGTCACTTCACAACGCCAGTCATGATACCGAAAACCCTGGTACCGGCTCTTACGTTCAATGGCCACACCTAAGATGTAGATTTTCCATAGTGTGATGAAAATAGAATTCATGTGTTCCAACGCAACTCATTCTCAGCGCCTTTGCTAAAGAAAATAGGAAAGAAAGGCCACACAAAAAGATTCCATAAACTAAACGATAAAAAGAACACGGCAATCACCTGGACTTGAGCCAGAAGCCTGTACCTCTATGAACTGCGGCATGGAGAACGACAGGATGAATTGATAAAGATGGAGACAAAATGGCCATGACCTAATTTATGGTACTATCCTAATTTGCCTGGAGGGACAAAGGAAAACCTTGCTCAGTACAGCATGTCTTCAGGCAGGCATTTCGTTGGGATTAACGAAGATGTGCAATACAAGTCACATAACTGCCATCTGCTATCATTAATATGGAAACAAACAGAGATAATTAGTTCTCATTAATACCATGGTAGTGAAACGGTCAGTTCATAATCCTGCAATGAGGTATATGCAGCAATTCACACTGCTGAGTCTGGCCCGTCTCAACAGCTCAGGTAGAAGAGCATTTCAATGCACTGAATCGGCGGTTCTCCTGAGATCTTTTCAAGCCACAAAACAAATGTAGTATGTCGATTTAAGGTAGGCAATTTTTACGACACGGAGTGTTGCGGTCCTTATACGAAGAAAAGAAATCGGATAGGCGGAGGACAGTGCAGTTCCAAGTGATCCACGCCAGCTGATTGAGAGTTCTGTCTGGGACGTTTGCTAATTTGAGCAGCAGACTGGAATAAGGTCGCAAGATGGCGGCCGCGCTATCTACACGGTGCAAACACACACACACACACTACCGCGGCCTGGCGATAAAGAACTGATTACATTTCACCCTTCCGTCAGATTCAGCTCCTACCTCATGGGGACCAATGCGTCCCAGTAACTACCACCATCCGTGTACTCCGGTATAAGTTCGCCGACGTTTCGGAGCAACGTCATGCCTCCATCTTCAGGGAAGAGAAGAGTAAGCCAATCAAGCAGCCAAGACGTAACTGCGGCCTATGTGTCGCTGCTTTCTTGCCTGACTTAGCCTTCATCCTCGAGATGGGAGTATGCATAGTGCTTCAAAACGTCTGAGAACTGCCAGTTACACGGCGTCACGTACAAAAGGCGAGTACCATTCATAGTCAGCTATGGAAACCTCATATCGAACTCTCAAATAAACTGTGAGCAAAATGAGAACTTCTCTTGATATAAATACAGGTAGTATGCACAGTTGCCACTGTTTTTTTTTTTTTTAGTTTAAGGTATCAACAAGTTTCTGTCCAATTTTGGAACTGCTTGGCAACCATACAGTATAATTAATTGATTTACTTGTCCAATGAGAACTGCTGGTGCGCTATGCGTCCCAGGGAATGGGTTACCCAACGGATTCTTCAAGTTCTTATACGCAAACATCACATCCGATACCACAGACGAACTTATTGGTGTGCGCAGACGCATGGCTCGTATCTCTCATAAGTGGTCGGAGTGTGGATCCAAGGTCTGAATGCGTGACCCTTTACGTCATCCCTCTCCCACACGGCACAAATTTCGCAAACATGTTTATAACACATGGCCATTCCAAATTTCGGACCAAGGGCCATCCAGAATTGGACAGCGACGTTCCGACTGCATTACATCGTCTGTCCCGGGTCTCCTTCTCGGAGTCTCTGGGTTATCGGCTCTGTTGTAACTCTTCCCTTATCGTGACCAGGCAGGCGACCTTTGCTCCACGATAAAACTTCTGTGGTAGCATTCTGAAGTAAGCAGAACCTCGCCAGCAACATCTCCACGCCTGAAGCGAGAGACCAGTCTGAGACCGAACGCGAACGTTCAAAACATGACGCGAGACGTGGTTCACGGCGTTCAGGGTTCATACTGTTATCTCCTGCATCAGTGGGTCACACAGTCCGATGACATAACCTAAACACCCGGAGGAGGCTGGTCTGAACACGCTCCAGACCTATATTCGAGAGGCGCTCGGGCAACGACCCATCCCAAGGTTCATCGCGATTATCAGTACCCACAGGAAAAATCTGGGAGTTTTCCTCGATTTCTCCACGACCACCTCCTTCCAAATCCTTTCCAGATTCCGGAATTCGCTGACAAACTGAAACCGTAGCCATGAATCGAACCGGGTACGTCCACAACGCGAGTAAATAGACCGTGAAGGTGCCACTCCTTTGAGCCACATATACCGTCCCCACCTCACAAAGAACATACTGCCTCTCAATTACAAAGAACGGCCTATCACGAAACATAACACAAACACGGTAGAAAAGTTGTATCTTGTGGGTCGTGACGCCGTGTAGTACGGTAGAAATTAATTGACGTTTCGGAAGAACAGATCTTCAGCAAGCAAAAAGTGTTTGTTTCTTGCTTGGCTTCCTCTTCGGATGTAAAAATGATGGTAGCATGTTCCACCGAAACGTCGGTTAGCTTCAGCCATATCACGCGGCGTCGCATCTTCAGAAGATATATTTTTCACAGCAACCGCCGCGTAAGAACTTCAAATCAAACACAAATGTTTCCGTGGGCTGTACCACTGCGCTTTAAAGGGCTAACCTTGACTCTAGCATTGGTCCAGTTTCATGCTTCAGCCGCCTTGACCGCAATGAAAAGAGCCTTGGTAGAAAGTCACGTGGCCACTACTACGTGACGAGTGGACTCCATCTCCCTACCCGTTACCTTATCACTCACGTGATACACGACATAATCTGGGCAGTTTAGTGCACAGAGAACCGCTCATAGAGAATATGAAGTGCCTACCAAATACCACGTACAGACGAGTCGGCATAGCTCAGTCGGTTGAGGTGCAAAATACGAGTTCCGGTTGGCGCAAGTTTTCTGCTCTTCACGTGGTCCAGACCGGCTCTGGGGGCCCTTCCCATGGAGTAAAGCGGCTGGGGGGTGAACCTCACCACTCATCTCCATCTAGTGCCGAGGTCAAGAATACGTGGATCTATACAACCCCCCCCCATACGTATTCTTGAATAGTGCTAAATTAGTTGAGGGCAGGGCCAACTTTACGAACCTGAACCTAGGGCGGGCCAGTGGCACGGATACCATACAGAGGTTTTCCTGGTATGCTCCGAACTATCCATGAAAAGTCAAATGTAAAGTTGTTCCTGTGTTTAACCAATTAAGCATTAGGCCATGAAGACTCGCGGGGGGACTCCTCGTGGAAACGCTAACAACAACCCGTATACGTGTACAAACGTTTTAAAATCTAACTCCCACCTACAAGGCAATACATTAAAGAAAAGCAACATTAAGTACAGGCACCTCATGAGATGTCAGGTTTTCATGGTGAAATTCTAGAATGCGATCTTCTGGATTATAACATCATGTCCTCTGGTAGGTGCTTGATAAAGTTTCGGAAGAACACCCTGCCTCCACGCCCTCAAGTCATCTCTCTCCCTACAACCATACCGTTTCTTTTCTGCTCTTTTATCCTGAAGATGAGAGTAATAGGTTGCTCCGAAACGTTAATAATCATCTACCGCACTACTGACGACAGTAATCCTCAGTCATTCTGCCATGAGAACCTCTTCTTAACCATACACGGCATCAAGAAGAGATTCAATCAAATCGGACTAGCGGTTATTACAGCTGTGACTACGAAGAATTCTATAAATCTTCTAGGAAATAACGCCATGTAGGCCGGTGAAATTCGGCCGACGTGTTGGCGGAAGATATCGTCTGCACCTCTTCCGCCATTCTCGTTTCTCTGCATACCTCAAGCTTGTGGCCTCTTCCGCGCGTTCCCATGTCTGCACGTCGCAGCTGCAGTCCATACCCAAGTAGCGTGGTGGTGAAATTCGGCCGACGTGTTGGCGGAAGATATCGTCTGCACCTCTTCCGCCATTCTCGTTTCTCTGCATACCTCAAGCTTGTGGCCTCTTCCGCGCGTTCCCATGTCTGCACGTCGCAGCAGAAGTCCATACCCAAGTAGCGTGGTGGTTGCTGATCCTTGTCTCAGTTTCTAAGGGTAAGCCAATGTAAGCGGTAGCTGCCCCCCTTCATGCGGGTCTTTTGCTTGACTTACTCTTCGACCCTGACGATGGAGGGTGACATGTACCTCCGAAATGCTGGTTAAACTCGCGCCACTATATGACGTCACATCGCAGAATATTCACCAAGCGCGCCTGTAATTATGCGTCACACAACGCAAGCACTTGCCGCCAGCCTGTGCGGCATCCACTGTACAAGTAGGATCTGGATTCTATTGCACCGACTTAACAGATTACGACAGTTCGTGGGTATCATCTCGAGAACGAGTCTGAACACTGTTACACACTTGACGAGCAGGGGGGGCATGGAGATAAAAGCTTCGGCTCTGGAGTGGGTACCACTCCTGCATCGTACTCAAAAGGCGCTCCCTCCTGCTTTGAAGGATATGACGCGGTGTACTCAAACGTCCTTTCTGCCGCAAAAATATATATTCCACTACAAGGTACACGGCGTCATAACCCAGAAGACCTCAAATCTCTTGAAGAGTCCTAAGTCTAAATGCTGGTCCCGATACTGGGTATTCTGACAAGCCTGTCTAGTCCCCTTGTTCCTCAGAACCGACCGCAATCCCCTCCCTCTACATCCTGGAACCACGGTACACACCTTGCGCAGGCAACCCTGCAACGCTACTAGTGACCGTCAATGCCAAAGGCCACGAAACCATTCTCATAATTACACATGCAAACGTTTCGCTGCCTTAAGATGAAGAAACTCAAAAATAACTCATATGTAGTAAGTTAACACGAAAGCAACAGCAGTGTGCGTTATTTCTATCAGTTTCTAGGAAATCTAACGCCCGTTCTTTCCTAGTCATTGAGGCATCACAAAACCTGTCTGCTGTGACACAAATCCTACACGATAAAGA